TGAGAGTCTTCATCTCTTTCTCTGACCCTTCACCTTTCCAAGCACAGTGTCCCTTTGCAAGGAACAGCAGCCCCTCCTAACATTATACCCAAAGTATGTGAGATAAAGTTTTGCCATCTTTGCCTTCAAGGAGCGCTCTGGCCAAACTTTCTCCACGACGTATCTGATTGTCCTTTCGTCAGTCTGTGGGATATTCTGTACTCTTCTCCAACATCATAATTCAAAGCCATCAATTCTTCTTCTGGCATGCTTATTAATGTCCAGCTCTCAAATGCATAACTAGTGATGCAAATTACATGGCCTGAATAATGTGAACTTTAGTCTTCAAACTGACAGCATTGTTCCTCAGTATTTTGGTGAGATCCCTGACAGCAGGCTCTTTCACTGCAACATATCTTTTTATTTCTTTTTTTTAAAATTATTATTAAATTGCCAACAGTGTTGACCGTGGGTCCCAGTAAGATGGAATCATTTACAATTTCAATCTTTTCTCCAGTTATCATGAAGTTGCTTGTTGGCCAGGTGGTAAGGATTCTTGTCTTCTTCATATTGAAATGCAATCTGTCTTGAAGGCTGTAGTCTTTGATCTTCTGTAGCAAGTATTTCAAGTTCTTTTCATTTTTAGCAAACAAGATTGTGTCGTCTGCATAGTTGATGAGTCTCCTAATCTTGATGCCACAGTCTTCTTCACAGAGTCAAGCATCTGAAATTATTTGCTCAGTGTACAAATTGAATAGGCCTGGGCAAAGAATACAACCCTGACCCATTCTTTTCTTGATTTTAAACCATAAAGTCAGTATTCTTTTGCCTGTTCAGACAACAGCTTCTTTGTCTAGATATAGGTTTCATATGAGCATAATTAGGTGTTCTGGGATACTTATTCAGAGCATGTTGTTGTTGTGTGCGTTTGAGTAAGAATCAACTCATAGCTGACCAGGGAAGGGAGGGGAGCTTCAAAAGCAGTAAATCAGACAGGAGGAGATTGTCCATCTTCTCCCATGGAGCAGCTGGCAGATTCAGATTGCATACCTTGGGGATTGTCATGCAGTTTCTTACCACTAGGCCACTACAGCTCCCGCATTTAGAATATAAGAAGCAAGAATTTGGGAAGGAGTTTTCAACTCTGTAAGATCAAGAAAATTAGAAGCTCGAGCAAAATTTACCTAAATCTCTTGGAACCCAGGAGGCCCTAGCTGACATCTGGGTTATAATAATGTAATAATTAGGATTAGTGTTTACCATATGCCAGACATTGCACCTTATGCAAATTGCCTCTTTAATCTTCATAACAAACCAATGATGGTAGACACCATCTCATTTTATAAAGAAGGCAACTGAGGCTAATGGCATGCCCAAAGCCATATAGTAAGTAGATGCCAGAGTGAGTAGTTCCATCTTTGTCCAGCTGAAACAAAAGCAATTCCAGTTCTTGTGAAACAGATCCTTCTTTTTCTGTTTACCAAACACCAGATAAGCTGGAATGAAGAGCAGATAAAGAGTGAAAGAGATAAGACTAAGGAAAAGTTGAAAGAAAAAACAGAGATTCAGAAAAGAAAAAGGAATGTGATAAATCACTGATATTCATATTCTAATATTTTCTCACTTATATTTGTTTGGATCTGAATGAGCTGGCATTTTTTTTTTCTGACAGACAGTTGATGTATCATGCAGTATTACTTCTTACTCACCTTACAGGCTAATTATTTTTTTACGATGAGACTTTTTAATTGATATAGATCCCAAAATAGTTCACAGAACTGAAATCACCATACTAATGCATAAATTCAATACATATTGGGAAAGCAGTAGAGCAAAAATCTGAGAATAACAAAGTCATCTTTCCATGGGTTTCATTTGTTACATTTCAGAGCTCTTGTACACAACAACATAACGGCAAATTCGGCAATAATCTTACTTTAAATATATAGACTGTAATTATTCATCAGAAGCAAATACTAAAGGAAATTGGAGGCCACAATACTACTATCAAATGGAAATTGTGGCATTATTTTCTCCTATATGAAAAAAGTGGGAGAAGCCAATTGAGTTAATGTAGTTGTCATCTGCTACTGAACAGTGGTGGCAGGGACCCTGGGCCGGAGCCCTGTGGGGACACACTCAAGGGCAGGGATCATGAGGCCATTCTAGTGAAGGGCTCTGCTATTTCCCTTGTTTGCCTTTTATGCAGCAACTCAACAGATTCCATTTGATTTTACCATTTTCTGACAATGCTTAAATTTGCAATATTAAACAAAAATTTCATAAACTGTACCTTCAACAAATAGCAAGTGAAATTTTGTCTTTCATTCCCACCAAGCCCCCAAACTTATATGTCCAAAAGAAGCACCCACTGCAGTACACATGAGCTACCTACATGATTAGATGAAGCAGTGGGGAGAATATCACAACATCTGGAGGGACCAAATCTCCAAATGAAGACTGAAAATGAACAGCCCACAGTTGGAGAAAAGTGTCCTACGAGAAAGAAAAAATAAAAACATAACAAGCCCCCCAAACCTTGCAATTCATTTAACCTAAACAAAGATAGCAATTTGTATTGGCCCAATTTCAGCTGTAGATGAATCCCTGCAGAAATAGTGTTGAGTTGCACTTAAGTACATCAAGGAGAGAGGAAAGTCATTTGGTGATCTCGGGTTTCCGAAGACACCTGTGGTGGCGTGTTCACGTTTACTACTGCATCACAAATGCAAGGACAGGTGACACAGACGTGAAATGGTCCCCCTAGATGCGACATCCCAACAGGTCTCCGGTCGCCCATGTGCCACCCGTCTGCTGCTGGAACACATCGATTGTGTCTTCATCCTCCATCTCCAGCTGTGCTGGAGTGTCTACTTCATTAATTGGCTGCCCAGCAAACCTGACTCTAATCTGTCTCACTGACAAGCCCTGTCGCTCCCAGTAGGCCTTCACCAGCTTGCTCAGAGGCGTGTGCCTCTTGATTTTGAACTGGACGACAGAGCCATCCTGCCCAGCCACCTTCAGGTTGATATGGTCATTCTCTGTCTTCACTCCCTCCTTGGGCTTCTCCTCGGACATGGCTGCGCGGGCGGCGGCAGCAAAGGCTAGGGCAGCGCCGGAGCGGGCGAGTCACGCTCTCAGCCCCACCGCTCTCCCGCTGCAACTGCTATTTTAAGAATTTTTAAAAAATTAAAGTTTCCACATTCTACTAGAACCTAAGGGCTTTTAGACACACGCAGCTCACTGCTGTTGAGACAATACCCTTTCACAGAGACCCTGCACAGGGTTTGGGAGCTTAACAGGAGAGGACTGCCCATCTCTATACTGAGGAGAGGCGGTTAGACTTGAACTGCTGGCTCTTTCATTAGCAGTTTGAGACGGTGCACATTACACTAACAAGACTGGCAACAGCTCTCCCACCGGCCAGCTCCCTCCTTTCAGCTTCTGCCCTCTGCTCTCCTCTGAGGCTTGTCTTCCGTCTAAGATCACAGCAATGTGGGCTGCTCAGAGTGGCTTTGTCGCTCTCTGTATGCAAAGTGCACTGGGAACTGGCTGGTTCTGCAGGTTACTTTGCCAGGAGTGGTTTTTCACAGTGGTGAGTGCTGCCTGTTGGCTCCACGTGTTGATAAAATGACGATGTTGGTGTTTGTGCACTCATTGATAGGGGCAACCTTGGTGGCTCTGTTCATCCCCATTGTTTCTGGGTGTTGGCAGAGCCTCCACTCACCCTGTTTTTTTTTAAAAAAGCCCAGACTCCAAGTGTTCCCTCTGGTACCTGAGAGATGGCCTGCTGAGAGGAGGGCCTCGGGGCTGGGCCCAGGGAAGTGGAGCCTGAGCCTTTCTAGGCCTCAGACCAGGCAGAGAGGAACTGGAGGAGTGAGGCCCCAGGTGGTCAGAGAGACAGCCACCTGTGAGCAGAAGAGAGGAAATCGGCCATGGAAGCAGAACTCCACGGTAACTCTGGATAGTGAGAGCTCAGAGGGAGAGGTAACACGTCAGCTTCATGGCAGGAGAGGCAGCTGAGACGGACCCTAAGAAACAAGGGCAGCTTTAAGGACTGGGGAGGGGACAGTCACCAGACCACATTTCCATGAGGGCGAATTTCTGAAGATAGAAGGTCCTCAATCAGGGGTCTGTAGTGAGGGAAAGTGCTGACCCCACCACAGGCTGTGAACACACCCGCACCAACAGAGCCGTCTCAGGGCTTAGTGTCCTCAGATGGTCCCCTCTTCAGGTTTGGCTTGGGAGCCACTCTGTGGCTGGTCCACGAATCTACAGCTCCGGCAGACTCCCACCATTGTGGTCAAGCCCAGAAGGGCTCCAGCCCATGGCTCCCCTCAGGCCTTGGCAGAAGAAGGCCAGGATTGAACCCAGGTCTCCAGCATGGAAGGTTAGAGCTCTACCACTGAGCCACCAGTCTGCTCTCCAAAGAGTGCTGCAGGACTCAGTGGCTGTCCACTTGTTCTCAGCTCTGCTGTCCCTAAGCTGCAGAGCCAGCTCCTGAAATCCATGTTCTCTCATAATATTCTTCCTCCTGGCCAACTCTGTCCTTGGGCCTGAGCCTCACAGAAAAATCTGGAAGATCTTTACAGACAGTGCAGGGCACCCATCCAGCCTGCTTTACGAGCCCTTTTGAACCTGCGTCCTGCGTTCCCTGCTGGCTGCGAGCAGGGCCTTCTCATCAGGCTCAGAAACAGCTTGCGGATCAGAAGCAGCTGTGTTCCCTCTGGAGGCACCGCGCAGCAAACTCATTAAGGACTTTCATCTTCATCAACCTCCAATCTGTTTCAGGAGGATTGGTTTTATGAAAATAAAAGAGAATCTTCAATTTGTCATTTTACAAAAATCCAGAATTGATGATTGGAGACGGATGGTGCCGTGTGCACGTGCTTGTGCGTGCCTTTGAGAAGGGGCTGGCAAACCCGCATTTTGAGGAGTCAGTAGTAGTTGGTGGGGAGGCCAACTGGCTCCACCACGCTCCCGATCCACGTCTTTCCTAGTGCAGGTGACTCGGGTCTGACAGATCCCACTGGGGACATTGTCTCTGAGCACCCTGGTCCAGAAGGTTTGTCCTTCGTACTACCCTGCTGCTGAGCTGGAACCGACCAGTAGCTGACCGTCTGCAGGATTCTGAGGCTGTAAGCTGCACAGGCGACTGCCCGTTTCCTCTCACATTGCAGCCAGTGGACCCTATCTGCTGGGGAACTTGACCTCTGCGTTAGCCACTGGGCTCCCTCCACACCAGGACACCGGATCTCTCTCAGAGGATTCTAGCTCTGACTCTATTTTGTGTTTCTCCAGATGGAATCCAGCGTTTTAGACCTTGCATTCCAAGGGGTGGGAGGCCAGGTCTTAACCTCTCCAGATGCCCCAGACAACAGCTTTAGAAACAAAATGTGCAGAGCCGCTTAGCAGTGAATTCACAGTGGACTTCTAAGCAGATGCCTGGAGAGAGACGATGTCATCCCTGCCATCAGGAGACAAGTTAGGGACCATGAGACAGGTGAGGTCAAGAACGTGCCGGAGTCCGTGCTCATGGCACAGAAGCAGCCTCAGAGCGCATACACTCGGACAGGGCCCGGAGGAATCACTGTCACTGTAGACATCTAACAGCAACTTCTCAGACCTCACCCATCCTCAGGCTGTTTGAGGAGTTAAGCTCGATGACTCTATTATCCAATAAGAGTGAAGGTTCAAAACCACACTGAGGCTCTTTGGATGTGAGACCAGGAGGTCTGTTTATCACCCTTGAAACCCGAAGGAGCTGCCCTGCTTGGCCCAGGTGGGTGCCAGGAGCCAGACCTTGGAGCACAGTTTGTTTTCAAGAGCCGTTTCGTAATGAGGTTCTGATCTGGGGCAGGACACCACGTGCATCCTTCGGTTATTTCTGTGGAATGGATTTCATTCTAGTGAGTGAGATGGTGTTAAATAAAACAAGGAAATAGTTTAAATGAAACACTTGATGCTTTGTCGAAGGCCAGAAAGCTGCCTTTCTTGCTAATAGATCCAGTGTCTTGGTCACTGCAGGCTCGGATGGGAATGAGGGAACCTGGGACAGGAGATCAGCTGCCAGTGAGGCAGACCGTGCGGGAACCTGCATGATCTGCTGGAGCAGTAACTCGTTAGCAAATGCACAGCTTCTGCTGAAAAGTGATCTCATCTGTTCCAACAGAATCAGCTGTATAATGTCAGTGAGAGGCCTGAGCAGTTAATTGATACAAAATCTAGAGGAGCTCCTAGAACAGCGTGTAAGTGAATCGCTGTAAGCTCTTAAGGCTGTGGTTATTAAAATATTGATATATAAACACAAAACTGCACACACGGTGCCCTATTTGTTTTCTTACTCTCTCAAGGTCTAAAATAGTCTACTTACCCTCCATTATAAATGTAACCAGAATACTTACGACGCCCATAATTTAAGTTCGTCATTGTATCACTTACATAAATCATCCTCTATTTTCACTTGCGATGGTCTCATTTGTCTCTTGCATGCCTCTCTGTGATTTGCCGTTTCTACAGGATACCCGAGAGAAGTGTGCTCTGGCGCTGTGACAGCAGAGGTCAGCGAGCGAGTCTGGTACACTGGTTTTGGACCGGCGTGTGGCATTAAGATTGTGTCTAAAATGATGCAAGTGATATTGCTACTTGTCTTGGTTTGGGCACTTTCTTATTTGACGTTTTTTAAAGGAACTTGACATCATGAATTTGAAAGTCTATACCTGTTGTTTTGTGTCATGAGTGAACATAAGCGCTATTTCCAGAGAGACACATATTCAGTTCCAAATCAGAGCATAAATGAAGATGGAGAACTGGAGGCACGTCGAGATGCTGCAGGCTTGGGTCACAAAGCTCAGGGCTGACAACAGAGATGTGAGTGTAGGGCAAATGTGAAGCAACTGCGGCTAAAACTCGGCCCAGTCCCACTTGTCTAGATGACAGGACAAGGAAGAGGCTGCATACAGCCGTGGCCCTGCGGGTGTGAGGAGGATGAAATGGCTACGGCCCCAACCCTGTGCTTGACAGGCCAAGGAAAAGAAACAGAAACAGTAGTGATGGTCAGCTACGTGAGTGGAGAATCAAATGAAAACCAGAGGTTTTCATAGAAAACAGGAGAAGTTTAAGAATGGGAAGGGCAGCACAGAGGAAATAAGGCAGGACTGAGAACCATCTGGATCTCATTGCTCTGTGGAATGCTGCCTCAGCAAAGCCTACAGCATATTAACTTTCCCTCCTGTCACTGGACCTGTCCATTTGGTGAAAGCCAGTGGCTTATATGTTGCAATGTACTACTAGCATCACCCAGGGTGGACAGGTTTCACCAGAGTGTCCAATCAAAAACAGACGACTTAAAGAGGCTCTACATTCAAAACTAAGCCAATGGAAAGCCTATATTTGCTATTGTTGTTGATTGCTGGCGAGTCAAGCACAACTCCTAAGAACCCTATGAACAAAAGGCCTGAAGCCTTTCTGTAACTGTTGTCATTTATCAAAGTTCATAGAGTTTCCGGAGACATTTTGTTTCGGAAGTGGATGCCTGTCTAATGCAGTGCCAGAAGCTGGGCCCCTTAGTTTGGAAGGTTCTCAAAGCACGTAAATGGCCACAACATTGGGCTCAAGAAGGCCCGAGTTGTACAGATGGCCCAGGAAGGGTCAATACTGCACACGTTCAAAGTCAAATCAATGGAAACTAACACCTTCATGGACAAGTTCCCACTGTGGTCACCCGTTCATGAACACTGGATAACCTCACCCGTTCTCATTCTGGGACACTCGGGTAGAAAGCACTCTGTCAACACAAGGTGTTAATTGCCTCTTTATTATCGTTAGCAATTATCTTTATGGTGGTCCTGAGCCAGGACTTTGAAGGCTATGTGCAGAGAAAATCCATCTGGCAAAGATGTTTTGGAGACTAACTTTTGCTTCCAAGTTCCCTTTCCTCCAAGAAATGGGTGAAATAAAAGGTTTAATGATCAAAGGTGACCTTTTCAATGAAGCTACCGCATTTGGAAAGTGTCCACTGGAAGCTCTTGCAACAATGGTGAAGTGTTTATGTTTTGTGTTTTTCCTTGCTGCTGCTC